TGGACTAGATGATCTCCCTTCCAACGGCAGCCACTCTGTGGTATCAGAGGATTCCTCATTGAGAGAAATCATGGACAGGCCTTAACAGAAGCTTAGAAATTTAGACACCTACTAGACCAAGTGAYTGTCCCACCAACTAGCAGCCACATCTGCCACCTTGGCTGCATGAAGTCATCTCCATTTTCATTAATTTTTAAAATAGAAAGCTGAGGATGGCTCTGTCAGGAAGTAGGTCCAAAAAAAGCAAGACCTAAGAATGCATGATTTTGGTTAATTAGCCTCTGCATATTTGGAGCTGTCAGTCTTTCAGCCAAAACTCCAAATCTCTCAAACTGAGACTAAATGACATCTATTCAACTCCTCTCCTCTCCGAGCCATCACTGAGCAGAGGTACTGATTAGGAAAAAAAGCCTATGGTCTTTATAGACATGTCCCACGTCAAGGGTAATCCAGCAACTCCATCATCAGCTCAAGAGAGCTCAGGCCACCACTGGGACAAGCTTCCCACTTCTTCCCACTTCACTAGCTTCCAAGACAATCAAGACAGTCAAGGACTTGTTGCAGAAGCAAGGAGGAAAAAAAGAAAAATAAAGAAAAGGCTTTTCCTTCTTTAGGAGTRTCACAGAAGGCGGAGGATTTGAACAACTGAAACACTAAAGCCACAAAAAAAGGGATAGTCCCTTGCAGCAGAAGGCCACACACACGTGTGCAAGCTTTAACAACCACTTGATCCAACCCCTGGCAATACTGGCCCCACATGACTCAGGGATGAATCTACACCCGTTTCAAACACCTCCATTCAGGTTTTGTTTGATTCCCTTCCCAGCTGCGCCAGACAGGCTGCCGTGCAATACATACGTTGCTCTGAGAGGCTCTGACCAGCCTCGCATCTTCTTGCCCTCTCGTCTCACAGCACAGGGCCCCACAGCAAGCCACCCCTCTCCTGGTTTTAGAGCCTGGCCTAAACACAAATGCCATCCTTTGTTGTTAACACGCTGCTTTTTTAGGGGAAGAGCTAGTATTTTCCTCTCTAGCAATTTTTCCTCTTTGACCTCAAGCAAACTTGGTGCCTTTGCAAAACTGCTGACCACGTAAGCAACTGCCACACTCAGGACCTTTATCCATGAAAAGGCAAGGAGAAAGAAACTGCAGATTTTTCTAAGGGGAAATAACAATATAAAAAAAAACCCCACACCCACACATAAGCAGCACCTCCAGGTCCACAGCACCACTACCAAGCACGTGGCTAGGAGCATGAGCTCCTGAGCTGAGGGCTTTATATAGCAGCATGAAACCTCCAAGGACACATAATCACTTCCCTGATAACAGTTGTGCCACCACTCCCTCTTACAGAAAAGTCAACAGGAGGCACATGAGCACTGACAGAGATTCCTGCTGACTTAGTACCAGGAGGAGACTCCAACGTATTAGACATCTTGGAGGATGACACTGGACTCTGTTCTTCCAGCCTGCAACCGAATTCAGATGCTCCTCTAGTCACCGCAAAGGGCTAGCGATGGTGACAAGAATGGAGATGTGCCATGCCTGGCTCAGCAGCCACCGCATCCCAAAAATGTGGTGGGGGATTTTGGTGCTTTTGAAGCACCAAAAGTTCCACAGGAACTTAAGGAAAAAATTCTTAACAGTGAGGGTGACAGAGCCCTGGAACAGGCTGCCCGGAGAGCTTGTGGAGTCTCCTTCTCTGGAGATCTTTTAAACCCACTTGGACGCAGCCCTGTGCCACGTGCTCTAGGTGACCTTGCGTGTGTAGGGGGGTTGGACTGGATGACCTCTGAGGTCCCTTCCAACCTTAAGCATTGTAGGATTCTGTGATTCTGTGATCCTGTGTCTGCTCTGCAGCCCCGCGCCAGCGGAGAGCTGCTCCCGAGGAGCAGCCAGTGAGGAAGCACGGGTTTCCGAGCAGCTTGTGTCCCACTCGCGGCACCTGCAGAGCTGCCTTGCTCGCTGCTCCGAGCAGACCCAGCAAACACGCGAGTCCGTGCCGCCTCCTGCCGAGGAGGCCAGCAGCAGGACAGGACGTGCGTGTCAGCTCTGCGGAGCTYACAAGCGTCAGGAAACGCGGCTCAGGATTTAGTGAGCGCCCTTTAAATGTGAAGGGGCCAGGGCTGCAGCAGTGACCCCAGCAGCAGATTTGGGCACTGGAGGGGCTGAGAAACAATGGAGCAGTTGCCAGTTCTCAAGCTGTTGCTGCCRTGTAAGAGTCAAAGACCCTCCTGTTGGGGTCCTGCTTCTGCAGCTCTGTAACAGTTGGAGCAATAGCCGAGGATCCCCTGGAGATCTTTTTCACTCATTCATGCTTCCAGGTACCTCCTACCGGCACAGCCCACAYGCAGAGGAAGGTGCCATGAGGAAGGTGACCCTAGAGGAGGGGCAGGACTGCCAGAAACACCATATCCAGCTTCTCCCAAACACCACATCCAGCTTCTCCCCAAAATGTGCAGCAAGATTCAGAGGAGCCAGGCACTGGCTGTTTGCTCCCTAGGGCTGCGGCGGCTCTGTACTAGCCCACCCCGTACTCTGGTCACGACTTTACTACTTGACGTGTGTGCCAACCCTCCTAGTTAGGAGTTAAGTTTGACAAAACAAAGCAATGGGAGGCTACCTTCTTCCTCTCCCTCTTTCACCTCATCTCTGCTCCCTCCCCTGCTATTAACTCTGAAAAATGGCAGCAGAGCCACAGCAAAGGAAATTGGAGTTTTGCAGGAAAAAGAGGGGTGTGTGGGGAATGTCTGTTGCACAATCACTGCGCAGGAGCGGAGCATTAAGAAGTGATAAAGGCACAGTCAGAGCTCAGGCACCAACACGAGGCCTCTCCCGGTTATGTCAGTGAGTCTCCGCGACGTTATGTAATTGTGGAGCTGGCTGCTTCCAGAAATAGCCCCAATCGGCAGCTCCCGAACGGCCGCCCTGCCTCAGCTCCAGGGAGCAGGGGGGCAGGAAGCCACGAGAGGCAGGAGGTTTAAGCAACCTGGTCTTGCTCATGCTGCTTGGACAGCCGTTTAGGTCAGCGTAGATGAGAGGCAGGTTAGCAGCAAAGGAAAAATCCCGTGCGTGCCCGTTTTGCAACCCGCCCGCTGACGTGCCCCAAATGCCGCACGAGGCAACGTGCGCAGGTCGCGATAAGATGCTGAAAACAGATGTTGCTACAACACTTGAGGAAATCCTCCCTCTAAACAACGGTATCACAGATCACACAGATCAGTATCGTGCTGCCAGCAAATTCCTCCCATCCGCTCACGTTAAGGGAACAGCACTTGCAAAGCACAACTCCAGGAATTCTAATATTTATCCCCAAACTCACCCTACACTTAATAAACCACCCGCAACAAAAGATGCTAGTCCCCTGCCTGGGCACCCTCTGGAAAAGCCCCTGTGTCAGTCCTAGGGCCACCCCGTGTCAGGCCGAACCGGGGCTGCCCTTGCCCTGAGGGCAAAGTCAAGTGGCAACACGGGGGCACAAGCGGCTTTGCCCTCGTTTTCCTTCTTGAKCGAGCTTCTTGAGACTTGGCTTCTTGAGACTTCAGCGAGTCTCGGGCGTCCCCTGCTCCCRTCTCCAGCTGCTTTCCATGGGAGGGTTTCRTAGGGAGCCCTYACACTTCCGAGAAGAACAGGGAAAYGCAAGCAGAGCTGTTCTTTTCCCCAGCACTTTCCTTAAATATCAGCCAAAACTAAGCAGAATAAAGTTTTAAGAAGCCTAAGCAAAAGTCTAAACAGTCTCTCCACTTATCTCGCCAAGTCTACTTATTTTTCAGGCCTCTAGAGCATCTTTCAGGGAACAAGGCACTTCTTACATAAACAGGCAGCAAACGGGTCGTCTGCTTTTTCCATTTTCTTTTTCTTTTTAAACATTCAGGTACTTCAGGACAGGGGACACGGAGAAAACAGCTCCTTCCCGGGGCACCCCTGACCACGGACAAACCAGGGACGAGGGCCSTGGGGGCTGCCCAGGGAACCGAACCGTATTCCTGTGATGTGTGAGCCTGGGTCAGAACTGAACCACGTTCCCGTGCTGCGGGGCCGCGGGGCTCCTCACCGACGGCGTGCTTCCCGTAGAGCAGCTGCTCCAGGATGGCCGTTTTCCCCACGGACGCCGCTCCGCACAACACCACCTTGTAGCCCTTGCCCATGGCGGCGCGGCGGGCGACGGCGAGTCCTGTGCAGACGCAGGCRTGAGGAGCGCACGCAGCCCCAAGTGACACCGACGCCGCGGCCGGGGCCCTCGGCACCCACCCGCGCTCCCGACCCGCATTCCCGACCCGCGCTCCCGACCCGCGTTCCCAACCCGCGTTCCCGACCTGCGCTCCCAGCCCGGCACGTCCCCCTGCACGGCGGCTCGCTGCCCATCTGCAGCGCCGGGATCGGCTCCGCGGCGGGGAGGTCTCCGGRGGGCCCCATGCAGCCCGCGCGCCCCCCGGCACCGCTCCCCGGGGGCCTCAGTGGTTGTATTTAAGAAATATCCTAAAAAGAAACTCCAAATCCCTTTTTTTTTTCAAATGAAGACTTAAATAAAAAATAAAAATATAACTAATACGCTAATACTATAAATGCAAATATAAACAAACAAACAAATAAAGTTTTAGAGTTTAATTTTACAATTTTGGGGGGGAATAATTTTTTCCTCTCTTATGAATTTCTTTTAAGAAAATAAAATCTCTTTTTTAAATAGATTTCTCAACAATTTCTTAACGGATTTTTTTTAAGCGTTTTTGGTTAATGCGCCCTCCTCCCCCCGCCGCCGGCTGCCCCCGGCCCCGGCGCCGCCAGCTCTCCCGCCCCCTCCCGCGCCCGCCCCGCGCACCTGCGCCCGGCGTCCCGCGGCGCCCGCTGCCCGCGCCGCGCCGCGCCCCGCCCCCCGCCGCCCATTGGCTGCCTGGCGCCGCGGGGGCGGGGCTAGGCCCGCCCGCCGCTCCGCCAGCCCCGCGCAGGACTACGCTACCCAGCGGGCTCTGGGGCGCGCGCCGGAAGCGCGGGCTGCCGCGCGGGTTTGTGGGAGGCGGGCTTCTTCCTTTCCGGCGTGGGCCTCCATCAGGTGAGGGCCGCGGCGGCGCCGGGCCGGAGCCGCCATCCGGCTCCATCGGCGGGCGCGGCGCCCTCCCGTGCGCGCCGCCGCCGTCCCGGGCACCCAGCGGGGCCCCGGGGAGGGAGAGTGACCGCGGCGTGCGGGGCCGGTGCGGGTGGAGGTGCGAGCGGGCGGCCGGGCCGCGCCTCTCCTCTCCGCACGGCCTCTGGCGGGAGCCGCGCGGGCTCGGTCACTGCGCGGGTCTCACCAGCCTCTCGCCGCAGCAGGTAGGCGAGGATGGGCGCCTACAAGTACATCCAGGAGCTATGGAGGAAGAAGCAGTCGGACGTGATGCGCTTCCTGCTCCGCGTGCGCTGCTGGCAGTACCGGCAGCTCTCGGCGCTGCACCGCGCGCCGCGGCCCACGCGGCCCGACAAGGCGCGGCGCCTCGGCTACAAGGCCAAGCAAGGTAACGGCCCGGCCTCGGCCTCGCGCGGCGCGGCCGCCTTCCCTGAACCGTGCCCGGTAGCGCAGCGTGGCCACCTCCAGGAGCATCAAGTGCCCTGGATGAGATGAGCTGTATGGTGCTGTAAACGTATTACATTGATGGTGCTATCTGCAGCCCAAAGCTGCTTCTCGTGATGATCTTCGAATGCACACTGGCCCTCTTGGCACAGGGAGAGCAAAGGGGCTTTGCATTTAGTTCTTGTGCTTTTGTTACGGTCAAGCTGACCACTGCTTTTAATATGCAGAGTAACAGATGCACTAGGTTGAGCAGGGCAGGGGCTTTCTTCCTTAGGCCAAGCATTACTGTGAGTTGTTGAAGCTGCCCATGCTCAAACAAGCAAGGATTGTCACTGGATTGTCATTAGAGCAGAGTTCCTGGTCGGTGAAACATGCTGAGGGACAGTAGGCCTTCCTGTGTAACCTAAACCTGAGCAGTAGGTTTGTGTACCGTGAAAACACAAAACGAAGACTCTCAGCCTCTGTTCGTGTTTGTGACATTTGCCCAGTCTTCTTATCTTCCAGCGGTCAGGCAGGGCTTATRGATGGCCAGTGCTTTATCAGTAAGACTGTGTGTTAGAATGTGAGATTTTAGGTTTAGTCATTAGTATGTTTGGAACTACCTYGTGTAGAAGTGTCATATGATTTATTTTGGAAATGAAACCACAACAATAAATCACTTCTATAATTCCGTTATGTTGGCAGAAACAAAAGCATCTTGTGCCAGGCACCTCCAGTTGAAGATTTTGGTGAAGATTGATATAGTGATGTACTCTTCATGCCATTTGATCTGGGAAACACAACATAGACTTCAAGGTGGTCTTTGTGTGTGTGTAATTGTCCCCTTCTCCTCCCTGTCTTGCAGGTTACGTTATCTACCGCGTCCGTGTTCGCCGTGGGGGCCGTAAGCGCCCGGTCCCCAAAGGTGCCACCTATGGCAAACCTGTGCACCACGGCGTTAACCAGCTGAAGTTCGCCCGGAGTCTTCAGTCTGTGGCAGAGGTGACTGCTTTGTTACTGCTCAGAAACCCGRGGGAAGGAAGGCCTCTCTTGCTAGAGTGGAAGATGCTCTGATAAAAAATCACCAGTTAATATGCGAAGCAGAAGAGCTTGAGTAGTGATATTGGGAAAGCACTGGAGTGTCTTAGAGAGCTGTGCTAAGAACAACGAAAAAAAAAAATCCTGTAAAGATGAGAGGGGAATAAGAGTATTTCTTATGYGACTTACGGAAGTTTCTGGTGTTTGTTTAAAAGGATGGCGCAGTAGTTGTAATGAAGAGATGCATAACTAGCATAAAATGCAAAATAAGAGAATGTCAGAAGACATAAGAGGCATGAGAAGTCARAATTCAGATAAGGTGTCTGACTTCAGGCATGGCTTTTTGTAGTTCAAACTAATCACCCCTCATGCTGAATTTCTGTAGTAACGTGGCAGTTTCAGTGTGTGTTACAGCATATTTTTAGTCTCAGTTTTCTGGAAACTTGTAGCACTACCAATGAAGAGCAGCTCAGCTTTCCAAGAAGAAAGGCCACAGGTGTGAAGTGAACTCAGAATGGGGCATATAATTAGGTGCAGAGATTGATACAGCATGGGAAAAATATCTTTACGCACTGTAAAGGCTTTAATAAATACATGSGGTTTCTTAGCCCATGTTCTTATATTACTAGCTTTGGATAATGATCCTTTCATAGAGGTCAGTGAGTTGGTGCCCTAAATTCAGTAGCACCTGGTTTTATAGCAGTAGTGCTGTGCAGTATACTTGGCTGGTTTGTAGGCTCTGAAATTAAAGGCTAATGCCACAAGATCCCTGGCCTGTTACAAAAGCTACAGTGCCTCAAGAGCACAAAGATCAGTGGTACAAGTTTCATGTRTGATGGCTTCTATATGCTAGAATACTGAAAATGAAAGCTTTCATTAGGTGACACCTTAGTTAAATTTTGTAATGTTGCAGTAGTAGGGGAGTTGATAACACATAGTTCTTGCCCATGGAAAAATATTTTATTCCTTCCCGTGGGTTAGGTTAATTTTGTCTCTTTTCTCAGTCTACAGATGAGTACATTGTGGATTATTAGGGACTGCTCACTGCCATTCCATCCTTCCATTGAAGGCTTTTCTATTTCCAAAACTTGAGAAAATTCTCCTTTTAAGCAAGCTCCAGACTTGGCTCCCCAACGCCAGTGATGTGTTTGGCATGTGTTATGGCCTGCTGAGAGCCTCAGCAGATTGAATGTGGGGCGTATTTAAAATAGTAAATGGGACATATTGATTAAAATAATCACATTTCTTTTAAAGATAAAAATATCATGAGCATCGAAAATGCAGAATCACGTGCTCTTCGTATGCAGTATTCCAGATAACTGGTGGCTAGTGCAGAGTCGCTTGTGGCCATAGCTCTGCCTCAGTTTTGGTCTGAAATTTTCTGAATCTCCCAATTGCTCTTTACTGAAAGATTTCTATTTTTCAGGTAAAAATATTAGGGAAATATGAAACTCTAGTAGCTGTCATCCCCACTCAAAAGCTGGTTGAAAGCAGTTGATATTTTGATGTTTAATTTATGTGTTGTTCCCCACATGCTAAAGTAGACCATAAGACTATTTCCTGCACACACAAAATTGACTTAGTGAAAAACTATAGARACGGGTTGGGTTGCAGTGGGAGAGAGGATGGGTAGGACCTCTTGGTTCATACCTTACCATGATGATGAAGTCCTATGGCTGGGTGCCCTTCTACTTAGCCCTAAAGTTAGTAGATTTGGCAGGAGAGACAAGAATTGTTACAGAATTGAAACTGTTGAATTTTTGTTTTTTTAAACCACTTTTTTCCAGCCATAACTGAGAATAGGAATAGCAAGCTCTGATAGCAGAGGAACAAACAAGGCAACTTGTTACATCAGTTGTTCTTTTCTCCTATCAAAGCTGGCTTATTCTCTACAGAAATGCTTTCCTTTCTTCTAGCTTTGTAATTTCAAATGGATCAGTATTTCATAACTTTCCACAAAAGACTGTTTTATGGCCCCAGTGTAGCTTGTGCTCTTTAGCCACGTCTTGACCTTGCRGTCCTTAACTCTATGTGTTTACTTATCCTGTCTGTGAAATAASTCTGTCTTTTGTTTACCAAACACTTTACTGTTTAACATTCTTAAAAAATCCATTTCACTTTGGAATGCTGACAGCCTTTGTCTTTTCAAATGCAGCTTTCATAGAATCATTATGTCTGGAAAAGACCTTCAAGATCATCAAGTCTAATTGTAAACCCATCACCCCCATCCCTGCKAAACCATGTTCCTAAGTGCCTCATCTACATGTTTTGTGAACACTGCCAGGGATGGTGACTGTACCACTTGGGCTGCCTGTTGCAGTGCTTCACCACTCTTTCCATGTGTTATTTTTTCCTAATATCTAAACGTGAACCTCCTTTGGCACAACTTGCTTTCCTATTAGCTGTTTTTTAACTGGAAGAGATGCACTTTCTTCTTTTACTGGAAAGGAAAAATTTAAATYTCTAGTGCCCACGAGATTTTACACTTACAAAGACTTCTGCGTGAAAAATGCCACTGATTCTACTTCTATTGTAATAATTCCATGATTCTGCTTTATACTAATTGTACTTGATTATACTTCTTTTTCGGTAGGAACGTGCTGGCCGTCACTGTGGAGCTCTGAGAGTCCTGAACTCCTACTGGGTGGGTGAAGACTCCACGTACAAGTTTTTCGAGGTGATCCTCATCGATCCCTTCCACAAGGCCATCAGGCGCAACCCCGACACGCAGTGGATCACCAAGCCGGTGCACAAGCACCGCGAGATGCGCGGCCTCACGTCGGCCGGCCGCAAGAGCCGCGGCCTGGGCAAGGGCCACAAGTTCCACCACACCATCGGCGGCTCGCGCCGCGCGGCCTGGCGGCGCCGCAACACGCTGCAGCTGCACCGCTACCGCTGAGCCGCGCCGCTCTAACCCCCCAATAAAGCCTCTGCGGGCTGCCCGCTTTAACGAGCGCCTCTGCTGCCTCTTTGCTGCCTTGGAGAAGCGTGCACTTCTCCAGGCCTTCAGCTGCGTCCGGGCCTTGAAAGGTGGTTAAAAACCATGTTACTTGGTAGTGGGGGAAGGCTAGACTCCAAGCAGAGTTCTGTGATGATTTTCACTCTTAGTGAGGCTGAAAGTTTGAATGGAGAATTCAATGGCTAGACCTCATCCTCCTCCTGTTGCTAGGAGGATACTTACTTTCCACCCGTGGGCRTCTCTGTCCTGTGCTTACACTGAAGGCCAGCTTTGAGCTTGTGCAATGAGATGTAAATTGAAAGTGCTAGCTTACTTTTATAGCTGATTAAATGATAATGACAGTTTTGTTTTCAAGTTCTGTCTTTCGGTATGTTCTTGAATGTGAAAGCAGCTCTTAAGCCCGTGTCTGCAAATGCAGGCTAAATCAGCTAAGATAATACATTAAATTTCATAGTTCATGTTCCCTAAAGTATATAACATTCTAAATAGGGACCRTGCAATGCTTTGGGTTGTTCTGAGATACTTACTCTATAGTAAGTATTTAGGTAGGTTTCAAGTTGTTCAGTTTATGATGGTAACGAGAGTCTCTTAGATGTGCCTGAGGGGACCAGGGAAATTTTCTCTGGTGTTAAAGGCTCTTCAGCCTCTTTCAGATTTATACTGCATGGGTAGATAGTGGAAATCCACATTTAGATATTTGTCAGTTACAAGGTGTTCTGAGCTGCATTTCTGTAAAAGGCTCTGTGACTTTTCACCACGAAGTTTACTTGTATGACATGCTGAGAGTGGAGTAACTGCCCCCTCTGGTAGAGCAAGCTGCACAGTTCTCCAAGGCTCCGTGGGTTTTGTAACAGCCTCTAAGGGTGGCAGCAGGAAAGGTATGAACCCTCCATAGGCCTCCAAAGGGCTTCAACGGGGGGGATTAGGAAAAGGAAAAAGTGCAGGGACTAAAATATCCAGGACTTGCCATGCGACTGAAAAAACAGCTTATTTGGCTGCTTCATTGAAGGAGAGAGGTTTTGGCAGCACGTTCCAGTCGGGAAGGACACATCAATAAGGCTCTTGCAGTCCTTCCATACCGCATTTTGGCTGAGTCAGGAGAGAGAAGAAGAAGAAAAGAGAGGAAAAAAAAAAAAATCCAAGAATTCTTCTGTAGCTCTGTTAAATGCTATTGGCTCATTTGAATAAGGAATAGTTTTAAAAAATATATTTTTAAAACTTTTTTTTTCCTACTCTTTCCATAAGGGAGCTGAGCTGGTGTTGATAGCAGCTTGTGCTTTGATGTAGGGCAAGGAGGCAGACGTTCCTGAGTGCAGACCCCGTGAACAAGATCTCCCCTCCAGCACAGAGGGTGAGCAGAGAAGGGGCTGCAGCTCCCCTGGTGGGCCGTTAAGGTCCCATCCTTAAAGAAGAATTTAAGAATTAAAATTAAGAATTAATGAAGAAAKGGGGGCACACCCATTTCTCGAGTCACCAACACTGAGGCTGGCGGTCTGCAGCCTGTGCATACTCAGCTCTCCAGGGCATTTGCTAATGAGAAGGGAAGGATGGTACCGGGTAATTGGACCACCAGAACGGAGGCTGTGTCAGTTGCCAGAGTTAAAATCTCCCTGGGGAGGGCMGAGATTGGGTTGTCTTCAGTGAAACTTCCTTGAGATTTCCAGGAGCTTTTCTAGCTTTAAAGTAGCTAGTACCCTTCAAAGTTCTTTGAAATCTATTGATGAAAATAGAAGAGAACAATGTATTTATCAGGGTAGTTAAGTAATTTGGAAGAGATGGTATTTGCTTCGGGGGAGCTCTAGATAGGGCTCATCTCAAATCTCCAGGAAATTGGATTGCCTTAAAAGCATCATCTTCTCACCCAGGAAGCATCTTACACTCTGCTAAGTTTTTTGTTCTGTGGTTGAAAGGAGGACGAATTGCAGTAGATGGTTGTGAAGGGCAAAGGCAGATTTTCTGCTCTACCCCTCTTCCCCCTCCTTTTATTAAAGTTTGTGTTTTAAAAAGGGAAAACGCAAAGGAAAAGACTGTTCAGAGTTGTGTACTTGGGATACCTGGCCTATAGAGAGTTTTGTGGTATCTTTCTAGTTGGTTTTCAGCCTGTGGGGCAAGTTAACAGAGATCACAAATCTGTGTACTGTGAATTTTGTTGAAAATCGGTCATCTGAAACATTAGTCCCAGTGGGAGAGACCATGGTTTAAGATCATACACCAAGGATCTCCCGAGACACAGATGCTCAACTCCAGCTCATGGGCRAGGGGAGGCAGTAGCAATTCCCCTTGTGAAATGTGTTAGGGACCACAGAATCTGATTTTYAGTTTCCAGGGCACCTATTCTGCTTGTCAGCTCACAAGGCTACGTATTTATCAGCCTCAACAGGCATGTTTTAAAAATAATGAAGAGAAGSCGCCTGGTCCTTTCTAGGACAGTCAGGAGTATCCTAGTTAAACTGCAGAGAAATGTGGCTCTATGGGAACAGCTTATTCCAGACTGCCAGACTGTCAGCTGCTGTCAGAAATAGTTGACTTTAGCTTTTATTACATTATGGATTTACATATATGTGTGCGCAAATTACCTAGATTAACTAATCACTTAGCGTTTGGTAGAAGATGAAGGCTTGACAAGTAATTCAGCCACTGTGCAAACCTAATTCTGTCCTCCCGATGGGTAGGATGAGTAAAAACAGATTGTGTAAATTAGCAAATGTTCTTTGAATAAGCAAGTCGTAAGCCGCCTTCCGTGTTGCTAATAGATGTGCTCATTACTCGGCAACACTGAGCAAGTTGAAAAGTACGGGCCATGCTCATCAGCAGTGAGTGCAATTCGTTTTATTTTGGTGTCTCCTCAGGACTGGGAGCCGTTCTGCAACACGGCTGGGCGGGAGTGCCCTGCAGCCTGGCCCCAGTGAGTGCCAGGGCCTGGCTGCTGCCAGGGAAGCAGGGGGGTTGGACCCGGGGCCTGGATGCTGCAGGAGAAGCTGGATGGGTTGGAGCTGGGGTCTGGATGCTGCAGGAGAAGCTGGTGTGGAGCTCACCCCATGCACAGCCGCTCATGCAGGAGGCGCTGGGCTTCTTGCAACTGCAGACACGGAGCGTCTTTGGTGATTCTCTGAGGGCCTTGAAGTCAGTTAGCAACGGAGGAGGGTGATACCTGGACTTACCCTTGTCTTTGACCTTACAGTGCAGCAGTTGTTTAATAGTCTTGACCCAATAAAAAAGCAATTGCAAATATGCAGTCCCATCCATCTAGCTGGCTAATGATCAAAAAGCCAGACTCTAAAAATAGGCTGATATTCCAGCCTTTTATCTGCTTATTCCCCAAAATGGGTAAAACACTGTCTGTCCTAGCACAGCTCTTTTCTTTTACAGCACTGATAAATGTAGTTCTGAGAGTATTGAGCTGAAAGACCTAGATCACTGGAAACACAACCACAGCCCAAACAAAGCAATTTAGGTAGGAACTGATGAAACTTTTCCGGTGTTTTAAATAAGCACCAGCTTCTAGGGCACTCCTTTTCAAATAAGTGTTTGAAGTCTATAGCTCTGTGAAAGGATGGAGAGTCTCTGAGTTGTTTGTAACTTCTTATGTCAAGGTTCTGAATCAGCCTTGATTTAATAATTGCACGTGGGGCACTTAGGTTGCAAAGTCTCTCTCTCTCAAGTTAGGAAGTGATTGAGCTACATTTCTGATGCAACATCTAATTTTGTGGCCTGTTGTGCTCTCACCCAACGCGCCTGCAGAGGCCTCTGGAAAGCCAGGTTTGGAACCCAGTTCTTCAGGGCCTCTTGTCGCTGCCAAAAATTTGAGAGCACATTCTTTTCCTCRTTATCAATTGATACTTAGTCATATAATTGAGAGCTTTTATGTTATAAAGGTGATGTTTAATAGCACAAAGTACTGTAAACTATCAATGCAGGGAAATGGAGAGTTGCTGTATCGTGCCGAACAGGGGGCTCATGTGTGAGCAGATGAGTGATTAATTTAAGCCTGGTAACATCTATGCTGCCTTGGAGCTCTCTCTCCGKTCACAGCTAGTGCCTCACAGCTAGAGCCCGCTCAGGTCTGCCCACATTGCCTTATATCAAAGGTTAAAGAATACTTACGGTTAAGGTGCTGGCCCCAAGCTGGCTGCTCAAGGGTTGCGCAGCCTGTACAGGGCTCTGAAAGGGCTGTAGAGGCATCAGTGCAGAYGCGAGCAGGCTGCTCGTGTTCAAGTTGAGAAGTTCCCTTGGAAACGGGAGAAATAAGAGGCACACAGGGGAGAAAAAGAACAAATCAAAGGACTGGGGACACTGCACAGCCCCACGAGCACGGTGCAGTCCCTGCTTTACAAACCTGGCCRCACTGGAACTGTTTTAGCATTGAACTAGCTCGATGTGGCTGCACAGGCATTGATCTGCAACCCAGGTAAACCAAGAGGGTGTCTGCACTTCACCTACGGTGCTTCTGAGAAGGGGGTGCTGCGCAATGTGCTATTTCGGACACTGTGGTTGCTCAAGTCTTCCCATTCCCAGACCCTGTTAAGAGGCTGCATGTCAAAAGCCAGCGCACCAGGCAGAAATTAAGACCCTATTATGCTCTACRCTGAGCTCAATCACAGAATGAAAATGAGTCCCCATCCCTAAAGAGCTCACRCACTAAGTATAGGAAGTCGCTTATTAGTGCGGTGTTCGCTCATTCATTTATTCACACAAACATTTTTCTCCCAGCATAGTTTTTCTGTGACTAACAAGCAATTATTTGCACCCTTTCCTCGTACAGGAATCGAAGTAGTTCAGCTCATCCGCTGTTAGGATCTCCCTGCCTTTCTCGCAGGTTTCATTACTGGCCAGATGAATTTAGGGAGAGAGTTACATAACCAGGRTAAATCCACTGTATAGATGATGTTGGCTGTGTTGCTACAAACAGTTCTGTCAACACACAGGAAAAACAAACACAAGTCACAGTCAAGCTTTTAAGTAAAACAGAAAAATCCAGATTATTTTCACTTGGTCTCCAATTGCTGCAGTTGTTGATGGAGAACTTAAGATTATCTTTTTTTGATAGAGAATGACACAAATTAGGATTCATCTACACTCAGTTAAAAAAAGGGATAGAGGCAAAATAGATGATACTTTTAAATGCAGGAAGAAGAGTGGAAGTAGAAGAAACTTCCCTAAATGATTATTTAAAAGAGTAAAATATGTAATTCAATTGATCCTATTGATTTTGCACAATCTAATTTTCAATCAATGTAGGTAATTTTATTTCTGATAGGTGTAGAGGTGTCCATTCTTAGTAGAAAGAGACTAAAAACCCATATAAATTGATAGTGAGATAGACAGTTTTTCACATTCAGGCCC